CACACACACACACACACACACACACACACACACACACACACACACACACACACACACACACACACACACACACACGGAAAAGCAATAGACCAGTTCATATCACCAGGTTGCTACCAAGCCTTTGCATATCCCTTTCAGGTGTCTTTTGTTATTCTGCAAGTGATGAACTACCTCTGTTCAGTCAGTCTCCATTCCTCCAGCCTCCCATCTTAGTAGGAACCGTGCCTGACATTTTTATGGAGCACAGAGAAATGTTAAATAGCCAGCTGCACCAGAGCTTCTGCAGTGCAATTCTTTAACCGCATATTTTGAACACCGTGAAATATGAATCTGCCACAAACTCCCTTTCTTTGGGGAACAGGAGCAGCAATAAAAGTTTCAGGGCACCATGTCCAGGAAAGGAACTAAGATATTTTAAAACACAGGCTAGGAAAAATAAATTAAAAAGGAGGAAAGTGGAGAAAGTCCTTTCCTTTTATTTTCAAGCTTTCCATCTCATTCCTCCAACATTCTTTAGCTGTCCCAAAAAGAAGAGGACATGTTAATGACATGGTAAATCTCAGGCTCCTTAACTGCACTTCAAGAGTTAGTCAAAAAACGGAAAAAGCTCTCGCTTGTTATGCAGTGGTAGGGAGAAACTAGCCCATTTAGGCATCTGTTCAATTCCCATCCTTGCACTTTTTGTGTTTCTGGATAAGAGGCGTCTCTTTGCCCCCACTAAATGTGTGAACAGGAAAAGAGCAGCTGAAGAAAAGTTTCATGCAAATAAACAACTTGATAACTGGCTTTTTTGAAAACTGTGGGAATTCCCAGGAAGCTACTGACAGACGTCACTAGAATTTACATCAATCTCTTATGCAAAAATGTTATCGGGGCAAATAACAGCTATGAGATACAGAGGATAGTCATTATTATTTTTTAATGAAGAAGAGGAGAATGCTCTGTAGCTTAGCCTCTGTACCCGGAAATCAATTTTTCCCCACGAGTGGGAAGGTGACGAAGTGACAGTAAGCAGGAACTAGGAAATCATTTTTCCAGCATTTTGTCATGGGATCAAATCAGGGATTATTAGCGGGAAGTTGACTGTAGATTTAGTTCATCATGGAGAAGCTATCTCCCAACTTTTAGCGCTCTACATGGGGCAGCCCTTGAAAAGTATTCGGAGACTTCAACT